AAAGCCTCTTTAGTGTTAGAAGCCGCACAAAACAATAAAAACCATTGTTTTACCCCAGTGAAACTGTAAAAATGCAAATAGCATAAAATACTCTGTTTAGGCGCGTGGCAAAGCTTCTAACTAGAAAACAAATCACATAAAGGAAAATTAAGCTTCCTTTCATTTCCGAAATAAAATGCCCTTCAAACTCGCTATCTGCTATCGTAAGAGATCATTAACTCTCCAGTTTTCAATACTAAATTGTTCAGTCAGCATCGATTTCAAGCGTCACGCAGGTTTACATATTAGCCGCATGTTTGTCAACACTTGTGCTAATAAGCCGCAGAGTAGCTTAGGAGCTGACATTTCCAACGGAAGCAAATTAGTCACTCGCAGATCGGAAAAGCAGGGAGTTAAGCTACAATAAAGCAACTTGCGATAATAAAGGTAAGAGTGGACATTTTTTGATTGCGTACTTTGATGAGTATCTCAAAATCGCCCGAAGACTTCGCTAGACAAGAATCTAAGTTGGGTAAAGTGAACTGTATTTCATATTTTGTGTGAAACGATTGTCTTCCTCCAGTTTGCTTTCCACGACTTGCAATTTTTTCTGAAAACAAGTTAATTTCCTAGCCAGCCAAAAATTCAAAAATTCTTGTTATCCGATTTCAACGCTAAGCTTACAGTGCTATTTGATGTTCCGATCATCGACAACCTCTCCCCAAGATGTCCGATGCAGAAGAGTAGACGATCATTTCTCTCTTCATTGTTCAAATCCGTTTATCTGTGTTAAAAAATGCTTAATAATCATTTATCATGAGATGACAGTGCAAAAAATGTAATTCTCCTGTAGCTTATCAGTCGCATGTGCCTTGTTTAAGCAAGAGGAATGGGAAAGGGCCTCGAAACTATTAAGACTTGAGTTAATAAGCGTAGCGCAAGTACCTGCAATTTTTCAGTTAGTCTTTCCTACAAAATATAATTAGCCGTGAAGTGAAAAGTTGTGTCAACTTGCTCAAAATTGCGTTAATTCCGTTTTTTAAACTTAAGTTCATATAGTTTAATTGATTTAACATATATATGTAAGTTATCCATACAAAGCGTTCATATTCTCCTTGTGAACAGCTCGGTTTTAAAAGCGACCACCTGTTCATTGCGAACAAAAGGTTAAATGTTCTAGCAGAGCGTAATAAACAAACTAAGTAATGCATGCAGTGGCAAGGAATTAAGCGACTCAAAATAGCCACGGCTTCAAAGAGCAACACAGATATAGAATCTTTGAGGACGACCCGTAGAATATCTACCGATATCTACTGACCTACGTGAATTGTGCTTCCAACAATTTATCTGGAATATTCTTTACGTCCCTTCGATTCAATAGGAATAACTTTAAAAACAATTGCACAGCATTATTCGAGAAAGGTCTGGTTGTTCTGACAATCAGAAAACCTTGCAAGTTCCGCATTGTTTTTAATAGTTACGATAAAAATGAAAACCTGAGGAAGTGGAAACTTCTGAATAGAAGGGTATGGTTCGTCATTAAGACAGAAGTTTAGCGAAAAATTGGCATGCATCCATTTGTTTTCGCCTCGACTGTCGTTGGCTTTGAGTGATTACCTCCATTGGGATAATTATAACGAAATTCAATGCTTTCACCCTGCACAAGTCTATTTCTGCTCCTTAACGAACAGACAGGTGTGAAGGCGTTAATTTTTCGTCCCACAAGAAAATTTGTACCTTTAGGAATGAATTTAAAAAACGATGAAAAAGGAACGGTCTCGAAGAGGGGTTTTTCAAGTCCTGTGTGCTAAAGATTTTAGCTCAGTAAAATTGAGCTCTATTGTTATCGGCACATGGCACTTGTAACAGTCAGAACACTTCTTGATTTTTGTATTCTACGACGGCAAATATGCGGTTTAGTTCTTCCTCACGTTAGAGTTCAGTTTAGGGCGTATGGCTTAAAACCTCTGTTGTGCTATTTGCTTGATATTTCCTAGCTTTGCCAAAGCAGAGTTGGTCTTGTCCAGGCCTGTGAGGAAACTTCTTTGAAAGTTTCCAAAGAGCTGTTACCATGTAAATGTGTGATTCATAAAAATTAATTAAAGCATTTATCCCTGCTTTCTTGTTTTACTCAATTGTTCTTCGTGTACCTTATTTTCTTCGAACCATTTTGATGCTATTTGGCAATAACATGTTTATCAGAATTATCCAGGAAATTTTTCTCCATGTTTCGGCGTTTTTGATCACTCAATTGCTTACCTGTTAAAAGTGGTGTAGCTTGCTGTTTGGTAAGGAATGTACAAGGTTTAATAATTAACCGGTTGGTTGTTCTTTCTAAAAGATCTCTTTGTAAAAGGACGTATAACGGTATGTATTTACTTCTTTTTCGTCCTGGGCGTTGTATTTTCATACCATATTTCCCTGTCGTGTGCCTTATCTCACTGATTAGTGAGGCCGTAATTTACTTCGCTTTTGAACGAATTCATTTTATGTTCGAGCAAATTAGCATTTTATTATAAATTATTAAACAGGAGTGTCGTAACAGGTTGAAAACTTGAGTACTCCTTACTCAGACTGCCTTAACTTTGAAGAAGCTTAAAGATAGATGATAGAATAAGCTAAAAAAACACACTCGACTAACGTACCGAATTTCCATACTTATTATAAGCTGAGCCATTAGTACAACTATGGCTCCCGGCTTGTTGAGGTAAGAAGAAAAATAGATTGAAACCTTAAAAGACAATGATAGAAAATTGTCTAACAGGCAATTTGGAAGAATGCCATCGTTAAACCTCATGTCCGCAGGGCTAATTGCCTTTTTTTCTATTTTGGGGGAACGAACATGCAAACCGAAAGCAAAGTGACTTTTCTTATCTTTGTATAACAATTTCTGTCACTCTTAATCCATTCCATGAAGCAAGTTTCTGTAAAGAGTTGAAGGAGCTTTAGTTCTTATCAAACGCTTACACTCTTGATCATCTGAGAGAAAAGACTGCACCAAAAGCTTATTTCTCCTTGGGTGGTTTATAGAAAATACATGAAAACTTAAAGGGAATTCTAATACTGTGGAGCACAAAGTAGTGTTCGATATAGGTAAGGAGAAGTTAGACCGAATCACTTAAACTGTTTTCAACTATAAGTGACTTTAGAAAGTGAACCACCTTAGTTGAAAGCCAAGATAGTTGACTTTTCAAGTGTCAGCGCTCCCTCAGAGCTTCAGTTAGTTGACTGATACGCCAAATACATTTTTGTTACTAACTAGGTTCTGAAGGCGCTGTGGTAAAAACTTCTAGCGAAACGACCAGACATTTTCATGCAACACGGTGTTTCGATGCTTCATCAAAATTTTTCAAGAAAGAACGGTGTCTGATAATTTAGGCGGTACATTTAATTAAATTGTTTCACTTATCAGAAGCTAAAAGTCCTTCTACTATGGTTTTAAAGGGCGAATCTATTAGGTAATTTCGTTGCGTAGTGTTGTTGGGTAAGGCCTTAAGAGTGCGCCTCTCTGCACCCAGGTGTAAAAATAGTTACCAGCGTATTGTCGAGGTAGGCGAGGAAAGTTCTGGTGACAACCTGTCGTGGACTAGAATTCCGCCTAAAATAGAAACCAGCGCTAAATGCAGACCAATAACAGTGAAGCCGTTAGGTTTGGAAACTAGCAAGGAAACTATCTAGAAATGGACAGATGTTTTAGTGCACAATTTACAAAGTGCCTTGAAATGAAAGCTTATTGTTGTCGTTATAATCTCCTGATTGTTTAACTATTGTTGCATGTGATTTCTCTTTACTTGTTAAGACCTGTTCACATTAAGCCGTTTGTCAAAAGGATTTGGAAACACTTCAGCGGTTCAGTTACCTCCGAGCAGTGTTTTCGTCTTAAAACAAATACTGTAAATGAGAAAACAAACAACACTTTTAAAAAAACAGAAGTGCTAAGTTGTTAGCTTTTCTTACCCATCTAGCTGACTGATAAAAGAGAACATTTTCGACTATTTTCGCTAGAAGCACATCGATCCAATGTACTTTCGGCCAGTCAATCTTGAATGTATAGTTCACTCGCATGTTTCAATTAACAACGAGGGTACAGAAAGATTTACTTATGGCTTGTTAGTTTGACATTCAATGGTACTGTTTGGATAACAACCAATATTTCCCTCAACAACATTAAATATTAAACATATTTTGTGTAGGTTGACCTCGGCACCCGCACAAGAGTAGTAATAGACCTGACCAAAAGGCAGTAATTCTCATCGAAATAGCACACGTGTGATCGTTATCAGTTAAAAACAAAATTAGGCCACTTTTCTGGCAAACTTTTCTTGTGTATTTCTCCTTTAAAATGTCAGGAAAATTGGTTTAAACGTCGAGCACGTGTCTGGATGGACTACAAGTAGCACGTTCTTTGTTTAATGATTCTTCATTTAGAACAATGGATCTCCCTGGTGGTGAATAAGCTTGTGATACCCCCTTGTATGGCCCGTCACCAGTTGCTTAAGTGTTAAGCGGGCCTATTCTTTTCCATACAGCCGTTTAACAGCCTTTTATCGTAAAGAAACTGGACAAATGTTAATAGTGGTATCATTATCACCAAGACACGTGGACGATAATGAAAAGCTGCGTGGAAATTAGAAATCCAAAGACTTTGTCCAACGCTAATCCTTTCGTGCGTTTTACTTTTAAGCCTTAAGACAACAGCGCAATCTCTTACCGAACGTTACTGAAAATTCACGGCATGAGTTGCATCATACTGGAAGATAGTTGTTGCCAAATCATTACTTGACGTAGTCTTACGTGGGTTATCTAACAGAATCTTGTAGGTTAGTAAGTTACGATATTAACCACCGGGTTGATATTTATTCATATTTTACCTCTGCCCTTCCCAAACAAGAGAGGCCAGACAATGATTTTGTTTTGAAAGGCCGTTGCCGACCTTATGGATAGTGTCATTCACAAATTACATGAATTAATAATGTTCGATAGGTCACTTAGAATTACGTGTATTGAACGTTTGGGAAATAAGTAATTTACAAGCACGAAAAGCAAATAAATAACGAAAGTATCATCTGTGGAACGTGTCTTTAAGCTAAGTTTAACGGAATGCGAAGAACAATCGAGATTTTGTCGGAACAATGCCATATTTCACCTTTGAAAGCTCGGCAACCTTTGTCCTATACAGGTTAATTCCACACTCGAACTTCCAATAAAAACGCACAGAAGAAACACATTAAGAATTTATTAAGGTTTATGTCACACTTAACTCGCCTCCAGAATCAGGGTGGGTTATTCTAAACGGTCGTGCACTGAGAGAAATAGTTCTCAAACCTAGTTCTTAAACCTAGAAAATAAGAATGTCCTGGTCACAGCTTCATGAGGTTTATTGGTACGATAACCCAGAAAAGACGATCGATTGCGCCGTGTGTAACGCGCCGTCCTCTGGCCGTCACTATGGTGTTTTTACATGTGAGGGGTGTAAATGTTTCTTCAACCGTACGGTCCGCTACAAGTTGTCTTATACTTGTGAGTCCTCTGGAAACTGTCGGATCGACCGCCAGAACAGAACACAATGTCAGCACTGCAGGTTCGAGAAATGCGTCAAGGTTGGGATGAGAAGAGATGGTAAGCTATGTTTTTACTGCTGTGTATGAATTTCCTTATATCCTCTCAGTTAGGGAAACGACCCTTAATTTTTTCATTACGTATCAACGTAACATAGGCGCGACCGTTAGATGTCTTTGTTATATACCTTTATCTGTAAGCTGCTATTCTTTAACCCAGTTATAAAGACATAGCCGTTTATTAACAAATGTCAATGAGACTTAGAGCATTTTCCGGCGGTATGGGAATTTATCTTTTACTTGTCAGCATATAGCACAACAAGTTCATATCTCATGACCGCGGCGGGTATTTTTTTCTCTCTATAAGCTATGGTATCACCCTAGTTGTAATAGCGACCTTACTCTAATGCCACGTTTATTAGTTTAATTGAATTGGACAGTTTTTTTCCTCCAGCGCAAGAAATTAGATCTTTCTTTTCTTTCTTTGAAAACGCCAATGGATTCATCTATTAGATGTCGTCATGACATGTTAAGCACGACCGTTTGATATCATTGAGATATCTTTTTCTCTTCAACCTGTGAAACTTATCTACAATAGCGACCTAACTTTTTTAAAAGTAGGGTTTATTTTTACTGTGAAGTTTACTTTCGAGTTGGCTTTTTCTCAGTCTCGTTTTTTCATCACACAGGGAAAAAAACTACTGCGTGACCGTCATGCTTTCCTCTCAGCACATTCTTTCCTACAGAAGACGTTTTGAAGCTTATTTTGTTCCTTTTTCAAATAATGACTTCTCGTACTTGAACTGAAAGTCAAAAATTATATCTTATAACTTTCTATTTTTTTTGCGTTTGGATATTTACGTGAACCGTGAATAAATGTATCGCAAGTTTTCCCCGAACGTTTTGAAAGCGTAATGATTTTTCTGGTTTACTTTGTGTTAAGGATATTCAAGAATTTACCAAGTATTATCGCTAGTCAAACTACAAACTCTTTAAAGGAATAGAACCGGCCATTCGTTGCCCATGAACATGTTTCTTTTCGAACGGAATCAGACCAAACGATTCCTTATACAGACTGATTTTGACGAAGAAACGGTTGTAGTCGATATAACCATTATAACTGACTTAGCCTGTATATATACAATTTAAATTACTGGACAGAAATTTGATAAATACGATGCACAATTTATTGCCAGGATTGAATAAATACTAGTGAATAGCCTTTTCAGAAACCAATTAACTCGATCCCAACTCTTAAAATATTTAATGGCCAAAACTTGGAGTGAAGTGTACTCATAAATTTTTAATGTCATTAATTTCAATGGACAAAATACCACGGAATATAACTCAGTTTCTTTCAGTAGAATATCTTTATTTTAAACTGCAACTATTACCCAAAAGCTTGGCTGTGTTCAACTGTTAAGGTAAATTTTTGTGGAATTTTCTTAACAGATTATCTTGGCAGTCAGAAGTTTACCTTATTTTGCCCTTTCCACTTTCCTTGCACTGCACTTATTTTTAACAACACTGTATTCTTATCATCAAGAGGAGAAATAAAAAAAAAGGCAAAATACAAATTTTAAAAGTAAGTTTCTGTTATTTTTTGTCAAGCAAACACGTTCACGAATTTTCGTATTTATTTCAGCAATCAGAAGAGGACGACCCACAAAGTACTCATATCTGTCAAGGTCCTCCAAGTCGTTCACCTCTCAGTACGACCTTATAACGCTCCTGACCCAGTTAGAAAGAAGTGCCAGAGCGTCCATAACTGATGCTCTAAGCTCCACGACCTTGAAGTCTAGTCCATGCCATAAAGTCTGGACCTTATTTTCGGCCACCTTGGAATGGGCTAAGCAGGTGCCTATGTTTTCTAACCTTGATATCTGCGAAAAGTACGCCATGTTACGATGTTGTTGGAGTGATTTATTCATTCTAGTCGCAGCCCAGTATGATCTACAAATTGATTCGGTGGCCCTCGCGTACGAGATCGAGACATGCGCAGGAATGTGCAACGAACGAAAGCTTCGATTGAAGCAGACGCTGGCCAATTTTCATGAGTGCTTGCTGCGCCTGCGTGGTTTAGAGGAAGCTGAATACGCATGTCTGAAAGTTATGGTACTATTTTCTTCAGGTGAGACAAAATATATTAATTGTATACCAGTGTAATAAAGTAAAATACTCAGCTTGGTAGGACGCTTAAAGGAGCTTACGGTATATTGAGTTATTTTGGCTAAGTACAAAATTACCTTTAAATTGAAGGAAACCTGAAAACAATACTTCAGTAAGATGGAAAAACACCAAAGAGATAATAATAAACCATAAAGAAACAAGGATGTTAAGGATGGAGAAGATTAACATGCATTAAAAACGACGAAATTGAGAAATTTATGCTAAACTTTTCAAGACGCGAAAATTGTGACGCAGCTCTTTAAATTAAAGCACAGAACGAGCCGCATTAGGAGTTTTGCTAAACGTTCGTTGATTCAGGTTTACGTTATCTGTGATAAAAGTAAACTCAATTACATGTAAACACTGTTTTTCGTTTTGTTTCCTAGACAGCGTCGAAGCTCGTTGTCTGCAAGACGCTGAAACAAGTCAAGAGGTTGTTTTATCTGCCATGGAACGCTACTGCAAGAACCGTTTTCCCACGGAAACGTTCAGATTTGGCAAAATACTCCTCAAGCTGATGGGACTTCGAGCAGTGAACGCGACCGATTTGGAATTCTTGTTCTTCTCCAAAATCCTACATCACACATCTATCGCTGGCGTCATTGGAAACCAGCTTGTTAGCGAATTACCCTCTCCTGACTCGTCTTTTAAAGAGACAAGCTTCAAAAGCCACAAGTAAAAAACAAAACCAGCAAACAGAAAAGCAAACTACATAATTTATTAAAATCTTACTTATATAGCGGCTTTCAATCGGGTGTCGTAAAGCCTAAACTACAGAAATCAGTCTAGCCAATCACAAAGGACACAGACAATCCAGTGAACCAATCAAAACTCGAAGTAATTACATGTAGCTGACGCAAAGCGCGGGAAAACGTGTGCGAGCGAGTAGTGATTGGTTTTGGTTTAACATCTGATTGGATAAGAAAGTGGCGCGAGTTTTTCCAGTCGTGTAGCGTGCATGATAATGCAAAACCAATTGCTTTTCGACACTCAAGTGAAAAACCGCTCTACAAATAGCATTGAGTCGCATCGAAAAGCAATTCTAGTAACAAAAATTTCGTTTATATTACTCAGTTCGATTGTACTGCAATAAACCAAGTTGCAGGTTAACAAATTGCAAGTTGATTAGTTAATTTGAGGCATCAAATGAAAAAGGTTTGATGTTAGAAATAATGAAGGGCATCTTGAAAAGATAACTGTGCAAAACTGAAAATAAAAATAATACCACATGTCTAGTACTACGTTATAATATTGATAAGAACTAATTACTTCTACCTCAGTTGTATTTGTGTGGTAGTTGCACTGATTTAAACTGATATTAGCAAGTTTTCTGCGGGTGGAAATACCCCCGCCGCAGCTGAAATGCGACATATGTATATTAAGTCTTGGTCAAATGACTTATTACGATCGTCCTTTGTATAAAAACAGCGTGATATTCAACACAAGTACCCTACCAAGGTATAGTGCATTAAATATAAATATATATTGCAGGGCTCTCAGTAAACAATCAAACCTCAAAACAATGAGACTTTCTTGTTAAAAACACAGTGGAAAAACTATATAGTAAATTGTAAATAGTTTGAAAATTGAAATGATATTCTTCAGTTTAATTTGTTTCACTGAGGTCTCGATGTATTTAGCGTTTCATAAATTAGTATTAAAACACATTTGCTCTCTTCATGAAATGACAAAATAATGATTTTTAGAGGAAGAACTTTGGTGTAAAATAATGTTTCGATAATAAAAAGAAGACGTATCTTAACCGTGAAGTAATATTTTCTGGCTCTCTAACTCTATGTAGTGGTTGACATTAAAAATTCCTCCTTATGAAATCGACACAAAGTAACTCCTTCAGCCAATGAAAATAAAGAAAATTCTCACTGAAGAGAAATGCTATAAATCTTTAAAGAACTGTGGGGAGAATCTGGTGTTCAAACTGATGTTTTTGAAATATGATCTCCGCCAAACATTCGAGCAAGAATAGCAAAAATAAAGTTACCTAAAAATCTCATAGCATGGTAAATATTTGAATACAGTTAATAAGAACTTATCGAGGGAAAATTGAATCTGAAGTTATCCGTATTTTAATTTAAACGGACGTTCCACATCAGTTCAAAACACTAACACATACTGCATTCTTACGAGGTTTGATATTAACTTTCTCGAGAATGCTTGAGAAATTAATTGCGAGGTCACTTAGAAAAATGAATTAAACTGAGATGTCTCAAAAAGTCTTCGAAACGTTTCCTTGCTATGAATGGATTTTGAGAAAATAATTTTTGCACTTATATTGAATCCGTCCGTAATCTTCCTGTTCTCAGTATTCAGATTTTTTATAGACTGTGTCGTAATAAAGCGAAAATGTACTTCACAGTTAGGTAGGCCGCTAAAAACCCTGTTGTTTCTTCAAAAAGTAAGGTTGAAACAATTAATAAAAGTCGTCTACAAAGATCATGACCCAGGTTTAATTACAGCCTGTTTCAATCTGAAACCAGGTAATGCCCGTTTAAATTTCTGAAGAACGTTGTTCCTAATATTAAGAATCAGTTTTAGACTCATAACTTTTCTTTTCGTTCTCTTGGTTTGTCTGCTTCGGGATCACCTATTCAGATCACCAGTAAACTAGCTGGGAGTGGGAACAGGGGTCTATGACCTTTCTACTTCCTTTATCTGTTACTCCGTCGGTTTTCCCCCTTCCCCCGTCCCCTCCCCCGCCCCTCCCCCCCCCCATCACTCCCCTCTTCTCCTTTTCCTAACAATCTAGCACAAAGACAGGTAGCCTGGATTACAGCCATTTCTTTTGGTAGTTTACTCCCGAGAGAGTGCGACCGAGGGAAGACGGCTGAAATTCAAACTTGTTCCCAGGTCTTTTTTTCACATCTTACGAGAAATGAAAAGCGCCGTGAGGACTACGGACTAGAGGACTAGGCTGGGTTGAAATTTATGCAAACAGAACTCGAAGACAAAATGAATAAGTAAAATATCCTGCCGTTTAAGCGTTACAAGATCGAAAAGTAAAGAGATAGCAAATGACACCAATTTAAAATTGTAAAATCTCAGCGGCCACTTATATTAACTGCTCTCTGTTTTAATATACTTTGTTCTAAATTGAAACGCCGCATAAATAACTAAAATAACGCGCACCTCATTTAAAGCGACTAATTTTCTCTGTAGATGGCCAGCAAAGATATTTTCCTTCAATATCTTGTCAGCTGTCAGCTTGTATTTAATAGACCTTGACAGACCGCGGCAGATGGTACAAACCTAGGCCGGATCACCCATTGTCCCAGAAAACAATTTCCTCGCAGAGGATAAAAATTAATTATCGTGGAGCAGTAATCTTTTCGACTGAGAAAATCGTTTAGTTTCAAGCTCATACTGTGAACTATTGTCTGCGATTGTTTCCTCAGATTTTCAATAGATTTCCACTCCTGACAACCAAAGAAAAATTCTCATTTTACACTATTTGGCGTTCTTATTCCACTTTATTTGCATAAAGCTGACAGCGTTAAAATAGCCTGTAGTTCACAGCAATAGGCAGAGAAAAGTAAGCTGGAAAAACAATACTGAGTACCTTATTGACTTGACATATCTTTTTCATCTATTTCCCAGTCATCCGTGAGTTGAAACTGAGCAAAATGACCGTCGTGTGAGATGGCCGATCCAAGTGGCAACTTAGCAGATACGACCAGGGGTATTCGCACGACATTTGGAATTATTTTTCTAGTGATTGGACTCGTTGCCTCGGCAGGAAATACTTTTATACTTTACGTTGTCAAAAGAGATCCCTTAAAATGCTTCAACAAACCTACAAATGTTTTCAACATCGCATTAACCGTGGCGCACCTCTTCGCTGGAGTGGTCGTCCTGCCATTTACTGGCGTTTTAAATATTCTCAGAGGACAACGCTCGACAGAGAGGTCGCTTTCATCAGCAGTGATTGACCTAGACGCGTTTTTGGTGAATTTCATTATAGCTACTGCGACGGTGTTATTGTTTACTATATCAACTGAAAGATGTGTCGCTGTTCTTCACCCGCGATTTAGCACAAAATGGTTGACGCTTAAGCGGGCAAAAGTCGTGAGCATTACAGCCGCTGTTACGTGTTTCTTGTTTTGCGCTGTTATGTTTCTTCCCATCTCAAAGACTTCCTTTTACATGGTTTACCTTCATATATTTATTTTGCTTCCAGTTTGTGGCATCCTCGCATCATGTGCGGCGAGATTAAGAAATTTTAAGAAGCACGCTCGCGTCTCGGCAATCAACAGTGGTCTGCCAATCGCTCAGTTGTTTGCCCGTGAAACAAGGAAAAGAAATTCTCAGCTGGTTTACAAACTGTTGGTCACTTTATTTAGCATTCTACTGCCAGTGTTGCTCTCCCTGTTTCTGTTTTACGCCATAAGACTCGTGGAAATAACGTGCGATGATGGCTGTGTCAACGAAAGATGGTTCGTGGTTCTTAGCAACGTCGTTTTAATGCTGTTGTTTTTGAGTGCTGCTCTTAACCCTCATGTACTTGTTTTAAGAATTCCTGAATACTCGCGATCGATAAAGCACATCCTTAGGTTACGGTAATTTACTAACTTTGAAGATTTCTGTATTGCATGCTCTCGACAAACCGCGTTTTGTAGCCATTTTAAAAATTTCTTTCCATGGTTTGTACATAGTTTTATCCGGCTAGTACTTAAAGTTCACTGAAACGTTCATTTTTCAAGATAAATACATAGCACTTTCATTAATTTACAAAAAGAACGCGTAATGAAAGATAAAGAAAGAAAGAATACAAGAGTACGCGGTAATGTTTATCATACAGGTCTACAATACTCAGTAGCTTAATTTGTAGCATTTCATAAAAAATTAATAATGATTCAGTTCAAAATTTGCTGTGCATCAATCTGATTGGCTTCGACCCACCTTCAGGATAATGCCCTGAAAGTAAAACGCTCACGCGCGCATTTTTGTCAAAAAGTAAAATTACATTTTGTTTTCGGTACAGTAAATACGCCAGTCTGAAAGTAATAGTTGCTGTCATTATTTTTCGCTGCTTGAGCAAACCGTTCAGTTTGTATTCACAGAGTAAGCACCGGGCGTGAGGTGGGGGGGGGCACTCCCATATAAAAAGGACGAGGGTGAACGTCGGAAGTTGTGAAAGCTCCCGCTGTGGACATTATGAGGCTAAACACGCTAAGAAGTACCAAATCGCTTTTTTAACCCCTAAAAGGTACGATGAGCACCCCCGTCCTTTTTAAAACGGAGTCCTCCTCTCCCCCCCCCCCCTCCCCACGGGAGTAAGCAGTCAGATCGTGGGATTTCAAGGAGTGGGTGTGACAAGTTGTTTTAGCCATAGCAGCTCTTCTAACATTTTATTTAACTATTTACTATCTAAAATTTTATATTATGCGATTAAAAAACATATTCCTGTGTACGAATGCTTAAATTTTGGTAATGGAGGAAAAATTTGCTAAAATATCACTTTGTATTTTTTGCCGTAAATATTAGTTAGCCATTTTCCGAAGTTTTGTTTTTTTTTTTAGTCCTCCGAGAAATTATTTAATGATGTATGGTAAATTTAGTATGGCCTCTGCCATTTGTTCTGTTAGAGAGACTAGTGACCCAGATGCCTTATAAACGCTGGAAATGTCCACTTAACCCCCGTCTTAATCAAGCCAGGGAAGCCTTGCAAACAATGATAGTAAGATGTAGGCCGCCTGTAATTTGTTTACATCTTTCTATCATTTTTCAGTATTCTTGATACAGAATAATGGTACGATAATAATGACGTTGTAAGAATAAATTTACTACAGTTCAACCCTATTAAACAGCCACCCTCGAGGAAATGGATAGTGGTCGCTTAAAGGACCCTAGTCAGCTTCTGCCATTTTCGATGCCATCGAAATTAGTGATATTGCATGGTGAACTGAAATCTTATTACTTTACAGACCTTTACAGTAAGTTGTGTTCCTAAAAGTATGTTTAATTATCTTCAGTAGTTTCATAGTGATTTCCTTCGTTTCGACACGCTCCGAATAAAATATAATAGATTAAGGTAGTAATAATAGATTAAGTTTGGTGTTCAATCAAGATGACATTCGTTCATACAATGTTAGTCTGTCCTAAGTACCGTGGTACCAATACTGTTACACGTTGTTCTTGTTACCTTTTTTTCTTTTTTTTTTTTTGAATTTCTTTTCTTTTGGTTTTTATGATTATTTATATTGGGGTTCTAGGGAATGAGTTACAGCGTTTTTAAGGGGATGGGGGTGGGTTTACCTAGTAGGGGACCTAGCGTTCGTTTGTATGCTCACCTGCCTCATGGCGAATCTGTAACATAATAGCCAAACTCTCGCAAAAAACCAAAACAAAAGTGTGGCTGACAAGAGCCCTTTAAGCGGGCTGACTGCTTAATTTCGGTAAACAACATTAGAAAGCCCTCATCGGGACTTAGATTACTGGCCGCCTTATAGGGGTGGCCGTTTAATACGTGGCCACTTAATTCGACTGTATTGCAGTCGCCCTAGGGTGGTTTTTCGCCTGGGAAACTATATCTGCTATAACGAGTTAAAAGTTATAATTAGTAAGACTTAAAATACAATGGAAGGACTAATAAAAACTTAAAGGAGCAGGCAATAGAGTGAAATAATAAAATTGATCATAAAACAGAAGTGAAAAATAAAATAAAATAAATAAAGTACAAATCAGCAACATTGACCCACGCCGCTGGCGTAAACCTGACATAGTTCGAGAGCGCATTTTTATGCGAGATAGATAGATAGATAGATAGCTTTATTAAGTAAAATCATTGCAGCCCCCGAAGCGGCCGAATTGTGACATACTTTACAACTCGTTAAAATTACAAATATATAGGATAAAACCTAAGAACATAATACTATGAAAACTGATACACGAGTAAATAAAACACTTCTTTTCGTTTGGAAAGAGAAGTCGACGGTAGCAATTAAATTCTCGCGCGCCTCAGTGAATTACAATAGGCCATTTCGGAGTTGTCTTTTGCTTCTGTGTGAAAACGAGTCTTCGGGTGAAAGCATTCATATGAAAATGCGCTCCGCCTTCATGTTCATACTCATGCAAATCAAACTTATTTTCATGATAAGAAAGGTTTTGGACGAAGATTCGTCTTGAAACAGAGTCACAAAGTAACTCGGAAATGGCCTATTGAATCCTAATTTCTCGAAATCTCGATTCCTCTAGCCTTCCGATAACTTGAACCAAAAGTCGTTTCTCTTCGATGTGTTTCACTGTAGTTTTATCCCAGATACCTCGAACTCACAATTTCTACGACTAATTTATCGTTTCCCTTAGAGATTCGAGAAATCGCGATTCGGCTGTATTATACAGCTGGGCTGTCCACAGACCCTCTATTTTGTCTTGAGTTCGTCGAGATCCCAAGCTAAGCGAATTAACTCGATGGGGCTGGGGAAAGATCAAATTAATTTTTTTGTGCACGCTTGGCGGCCGCCCTCGCGCACTCGAAGAAAAATAACTCTTAGCAAAAAAAGACTAGAATATATATGGGTTATTGACCAAGTGTGAGGTCAAGATGGCTGGATATTGGCCAAGTTCTTTTTTTGCGTGTTTATGGACCGAGACGGAGTCAAGGT